TTAAGTTGGAACGTTCATGGGTTCGAGTGGGGGACGAGGTATGGTGGGGGTGGGGGAATAAAGTAATGGATCAGGAGGGGGCACGCACGCACCGTCACGTACGCATGTAGCCCCTCCAGCCCCCACCCCCATTGTTGGATTTTATTTCTGTGAAGTTTTATCATAATTGGTTATATGATGACTGAGTTGTTGCTGTTAAGAAGTAATAGGAAAGTCTATTTGTACAGTACACACTTTCATAATAAAGTATTTTTGTTGGCAAAAGAAAAAACAAAAAAAACATGGATATCTCAATACTGTTTTGTTCTGAAACAATTATGATAAGGCAAAGTTTAGTAAGAGACACTGTTGTATTTCTTACCGCCCCTCCCTCTGCCCTCCCTTAAAAGACAAAAAAACACACAAAAACGAAATAAAACAACAACAACAACAACAACAACAACAACAACAACAACAACAACAACAGACAACAAAACTAACAAAACAACAAAAACGCAATCAGCTAACACGTGACAGTTAACTGATCAACATACATCAACATGTGAAGCTAAAAAAACAAAGATATTATTGACGACAGCCTTGCTGTCACTATGTCTTTGAAATCTATCTACTGATAAATGAAAATAACCATAAACACAAAGTATAACTCGAAATTTGTTTTACAACGGTGTGCATAAGCACACATATACATTAATACATAACTGCATGAATTATAGACAGTCTTTAACGTCACAAACATAGACAATCTGCACACCACTGCTGGTCGCCGCTGTGTCACGCCCTGCTTTTCAGCTTGTTTTGCCGTGTGCTGCTCAAGGACCCAACTCCTCCACGTCGTGTCACCGACGCGCACTAGACATTGGGAGCTCACACGGGTGACCAGTAACCAATTTTGAAATTATACTGAAGAGTGGACGTTGACATAATTTATTTATTTTGAAATGGATATGAAAAGTAATGGCTCAATTCCTTGAGCAACACACGATAAACCTAGTTCAAAAGTGAGGCGCTGTTCGATCGGGACTAGCATAATATAGTGTGTGAGTTGTCTATGGTCTTGTGTATTTTTCATGCATACTATGTATCAATGTATTTTTTGCTTTCTTGTACGCCATTGTAAGACTAATGTTTTAAATTGGATTTTTTAAATGTTTATTTTCATTTTTTTTTGGTAGTAGATATTATTATTATTATTTTAATACACTGTGACATCATGATTGTCGTCATTTAGTCGTGACTGTAATGACGATCAAAAGAAATACACTATGGTGATGATCTAAGCCCTAAATTCTTGGCTGTCGTGCTGAAGGCATGCGGGCGGCTACAAGTACAAGTTCGATTCCAGAGTGGACAGACGTTTTTATCGAGTATCTCGGTCTTTTTGGTGGGATGTTGTATCCCCCCCCCCCAGCCGGGTTGGCCCGACAGGTTGAACAGATTGGAAAAAAGCGTAGTCACAAATACCACGCAATCCTTAGATTGAAAGATTACATAATATGCTCTTTAGTATTTGGTTTATGAGATTATAACGGTTTTGTGAAAAGCACGAACCCTTTGGGCATCGGCTGTTTTAAATTCTGGACACAATTATCTGTTATTTCATCTCAAATGACACAGAGAGATGCAAACACAGCGTCTGAACTGGGAGCAAAGTCGTGTTTCTTCAGGTGCTGTTTAATGGGGCTTCACCAATCTGTAGGCTCCGTCGCCGGCATTCTTTGCTTTTCCAAGAATTGTCTAAAGGCGTTAGCCCTGTGACAAGGCGCTTTGTCTTGTACAAAGATGTCTACTTGAATGACACCATGACGAAAATACTAATAGGACGTAGTGTTTCAGCACTTGAGCGATGTCATCCTCACAATGAAGCATTCCGTTGATTCTCACGAGTGGGGATTTGTTCATTCCAGTCAGGCTACCCCAAATCAAGGCAATTTCGTGATCTTTGTTGATCAGTGACAGATGATTATGTCTAAACCCCCCC